GATTTATTTTTTCGTTGCGTGACAGTGAAAACCATCTATTGAAAATCATGTCAATAAGCAGCCTTCCCTAGGGGGGGTAACCCGAAAACACTGACCCCCGGTCCGCGGACCCCCACTACGGACCAGGTCTGCGGACTACCTATGGACCGGTCCACGGACTACCCCTATGGACCCCCTCTACAGACCACCTCCTAAAATAGAATGAAAATAAGAAACAAATATTTCACTTAAGGGTTGTCTAATAGATTACTTGTGTCGGCAAAATTTCCAACGTTACAGTGTGCAAATGTAACATTCTTGGGTTCAGGCTCCGGCGCAAGATATATCATTACAAATTGCCATTTTCTTTACCGTGGCCATACAGTATATGAAAGCCTGGGAAGCCTCCAGGACGCCTCCGGGAAGCCTCGAAATTTGTGCTCTTTCCTCTCTGCCATTTTGTACAGCTTATTCTCGCGTAGATTCGTGAAGTCGTTACAGGCTTCATAATTTGCTTAGCGGAATTACAGATACAAATAAGCTTAAACCGCCTATTTGAACTTAAAAAAACACCTCCCATAGCCCGATTGAGCCACAAATGAAAGTTAAAAACTTTCCTTCTTTTTGCCGTCGGCATCTCCTTACGCTTTTAGGCATTTTTTTGGGGGGTGGGGGAGGGGGACGTGTTAATTTCATTTGCACAGTGTAACACTCGAAATTTCGCCGATATGAGTTATCTATTAGACAACCCATTAGTGAAATATTTTTTTCTCATTTTTATTCTATTTTGGGGGGTGGTCCGTAGAGGGGTCCGTAGGGGTAGTCCGTGGACCGGTCCATGGGTAGTCCACGGACCCGGTCCCTAGTGGGGGTCCGCGGACCGGGGGTCAGTGTTTTCGGGTTACCCTTTATGACCTGACCCTTAAATCAAAACCCTGTTTCAGACCTACGTTACAATTAGTTCCCTAGTTCAGACCAATGTTAAATTACCGTAAGAATAATTTGTGAAGGGCTTTTGTTGATTTTCTTTTCGACAATGACGAAAAGTAGCTTCTTCGTAAAAACATACCCATATCAAGGCTAGAGTGCAAAATCCATGCTCTATTTATGACCAAAAATGGCCAAAATCAGCTAAAATCGATTCCCTATTTATGACCAAAACGGCTGAAAAACCACACCCTTTGGGGCTGCACATACCTATATAGCCCATATAACGGAGTACCCCCCGCTCCGGGCATTTCTGTCATCCTTCGTTTGATTCAGGTGTAGGGATATGCCTATCATGTTTATGTAGTTTTCCTCGGTTTTGTTGTTGTTGAAATGTTCAGTGGGTGATTAGTATTGCACTAGGCTGATGCAGCAAGTATGGAATAGAATTAACCAAAATACTAAATCCATACTCTTCTGAAACCTGGTAAATTGCTAATAGCACCTCCATATCCCCTTTTGTACATGAACATGAACTATTTCTTCTGCATCAATCAGTGACCCTGCATGCAAAGAAAGCTCTGCACTGAGTTTGATTACATTGGTGCTTCTGCATTTGGTTGGGGATACACGGTCCCTAAGTTTTGGGGGGTTCATGTGTTCAGCTTTGGTGCATGTAGGATATATTTTTTATCCATTTAGCTGTAATGTTACTGATGTGTTTATTAAACATATGGCTCAGCTGACCAAATGGACATACATGTATACATCACACCCTCCGAGTGTGTTCAATTGTCTGCATGTAGTGAAGGCAAGTATAACTTACTTATAGCTTACTTATTAATTTTTGACATAATTTAGTGTCAAAATTTTATAATTAATGGAGTCACCCAGTAGTTAACAGTCCCTGTAATCCACAATCTTAGCGTAGGAAAAAATAAAACACATCAATTATTGAAGTTGAATTATAAAGTTATTATTGGAAGCCTACATATAAATATTCATTAACAAAGTGTTATTTTTACCATTTATGTCAGAGGAATTTTGTTATTGTGAATGTTGCAATTTTGCAGTAGGGAATGGACCTCATTATATTCCTGTATGCTGTTCTTAATACTGTACAGCTGTCATACCTTTAACTGTATCTTTTTACAGTCACTTTTGGGAAGTGTCCTAAGGCTATGTAGAATTGCAGTAATTTTCAAAAGGTAGTATTAGTATTAGTATTAGGTAGCATATTTTATGAAAAAAACTGAAATGTTGATAGATGAACAGCATAAAGGCAAATAGCAATGCATGATTATGCTATAAAATACATGCACAAATTCACGCCACCACTGAGTCAATTGTAAACATTGTAACATATAGATTTAGCCAAGCCTAAAAGTGGAGCTCCTGGGCTGGTTTGCTCAAAGCCCGATCAAGCTAACACAGGATAAGCAAAAATTTTGATTTGAGTTTTTGAGGTTTTCTGTTTGTAATGTCTGGCCTTCTGTTTTGAGTTTCAATAATCTCAAACTACATAAAACATAAGCAGTGAAAAACTGATTAACAAGTTAACCTAGCTTGAGCCCATGATCTAATCGAAAACTGGTACTTGGTCAGTGGTCAACTTTCAAACAAACATGTCACCTTGATGAGCTCTAAACTTGAGCCCATGATACTGTCACATGATACTGGTCAGTGGATACCTTGTTTTGACAGCTGTCAATTGACCATAACATGGATGTCCAAAATCATAAATTATGTTTGATTAAATCAAGGCTGCATGACTTGCTATTAGCTGGAGTATGGCCGCCATGTTCCGCGTCATTGGCATCGTTGGGCGCAAGCACCACAATCCACACCACTAGCCATGTTGACCATGAAAAAAGAGTTGTATGGTTTTCTATTTCTATGCATGCATGTGGTTCTGTTTCTATAGTTATGGGGCTCCGCTTGGTGGCAGCTGCCAGGAGCTCCGCTATGAAGGTGGCTGTATCATAAATTGTTTCAGAAAAAATGGAAGTAAGGAATAAGTTTGTGGTTTAAGGTTATCATATACCTTTAGAGGTGTTTTGCATCCAAGAGAAGTAATGCTTCTGTTTTATACTGTACTGTAGATACCTAAACCCCTATATCAAATTAAAGCTTATAGAGCTGGTTGTCAAACAAGACCAAGAATTTTGAAATAAAATGAACTGTCCAATTATCCAGGCCCCCTATTGGGAGCATCCAAATCACCTTTAGAAAGCTACAGGTCAAAGCAATTTTTTTGCTAATTTAATTTGTCACTCAGGTTCCAGCTGAATGTGTCTGAATTTTGCCATATTCAATTCCAGTGAAAAGTTACCGAACATTTTTGAAATAGGATTTAAAAAAATATATGGAGTGATTGTACAAAAATCCCTCTTGGGAAAAAAAAAATATTTCAAAAAAAAAATATATTCTCTGACTGTTTTTATTGTTTACATGTCAAATTAGCTACATCGCTTCTAAGATGCAAGACACTTCAAAAGGCATATGTTAACCCTGAAGACACAGCATTTACAACAGAGTGATTCTGAACTATATCCTTATTCTAGATGTAGATTAAACAATTATATCAATATCACCCAAGACTGCATAACCTTCATGACCTAAAGGCAAAGTCAAGATCAGATCTACTGACTGTTTTTTTTAAAAACGGAAGCTTGGGATTGCATAATGCCAGATATGCATGTTTGCCAAAATGACTAGACATCCCAATTTGTGTAGAGTTTTTTTCTTTAACCAGCACATTCAATAAAGTCTAAAGAATGCAAACAGTTTTAAGACCTAAATGGAAGATCAGGAAGTCTATAATTAGCTGGACCAGGACAATAAGCATCAATTGAGAAGATGCTGCAAAAGTGTTACTTTTTTCTTTTCAGTCCTGACTAAAGTGTCATCATGTTCAAGATCATATATTTCATGAAAAGGTTGCAAGGATAATATTTGAAATAATTTTCTTACATGTAATTGGCCTATTGCAATAGTGGACGACATCGCCTCAGCAAAGAAAGGAAGATCTTCCAGTGTCATTTGTTGATTGCGATTATAAAAAGTAAGAGAGATACCAAATTTACATACTCCAGAACTGCTGATTAAGCTTTGACAATCCTACCTGCAAGACAACAAAAAAGGCTTGCATGAACTCTTTAGATCACATGAAATACATCAAATGAATGGTTCTTGATCCTTCTCAAACAGCACTCGACAATTAATGATACAAGATGTAACTATGGTACTGATAAACATGATGCATGCGCTGATTTTTCATGAGAGCATATACATTGCTGATGAAAACTTTAAATAAGCATAAAAGCAAATGACTTTTAATTAGCTAAATTTGGAAAAAAAGTAGACATAGAGTTCTAGAGCTGGTATTCTTCATTTGCACTATCACACAATAAAAAAATTAATTCGAATTAACCATTCAGTGGATAAATTCAAAACATTGTGATGTTATAGGCGATAAATAAAGAAGACACTTCCAGGTTTTAGCTCTACAGGCTGCGCATTTTCCCAAGCTTCAGATATTTGTCAAAATATTTTGCACAAATTTACAGAGCCCAGTATGAGGCCGCCATGTTGGTGTGCCTCCATTGTACATCAATATCGCAGCAGGAAAATAGTGTAAACATCTGGAACTTACTCTGGATGTCTAGGTGGCTGATTATCTGAATTCAACAAGCAAACATCTAAATAAGCACTTTTCCTAATACTTTAACTTCTAAAAAGGCTAAATATCACGAGATAAGTAAATATTTTTTGCCAAATTCGTTTGTAGCTTTATGTTACGCATAACTCTGAAATTCAAAATGTGCTCATTTCCAGACAAAGCAAGCTATCAAGCCAAAAAGTTGTTAAAAGATATATATTGGTGGCCAGCTCTTTAGTTTTGGATGTTAGGAAATGATGATGTCACGTGCAAACGAAGATTGCATCCTTGAGGTCAGATTGGGTAAGATTTGAGTCCTAGATTGAATGTTTTTTTAGCATTAACGTCTCAATATTAATTGTATTTCAAACAAATTAGAACCTAGTAGTTCACTAAATAGCTTAATTATTTAAGTACCTGTATTGCCTGTAAGGCTTATCAGCCGAGGGAAAACAGCAACTCCTTCTACATGTACATGAAGGAATTGTTTGACTCAAGAAAAATAACTTTTAGCTTCTGAACTTATTAGCTTGCAAAGAAAGTTGTGTCTGATAGCACAAAGCCTAGCAGTTCCTTGAGAAATATTTTGAGGAAATCAAATTACACAAGTACTGTGAGAGATGAAATTTTGGGGGGCTAGGGAGAATGACTTTTAGGCAAGTATGGTATAGTTACAGCTTGCAGAGAGGATAGGCCAAAAAATTGGTTTTCATTTCTTCGCACCCTGCTGATGCTTACTTTGGGAGATGGTGCAAACCATTGCAGCAGGAGTGAAGAGATCTAATTGTATCTTGAAGTAAGAGACAAAAATCTCCAACTTTACACAAGGGTATACTATTAACTTTTGATATTTTTGGGGGAGATATGGTAGAGATTAGGAACTGAGTATAACCAATAAAGGATATAATGATTAATTAAAATGCTGTCTTTCTGCTTAAGAAGGTGGCAAGGAATAAGAATGTCATCAAGCAGAGGAGACAGTTTTTTTGTTACATGATCAAAATTTCCATTACATTTAAAATGCATGCTCTTTTGTCAATGATCAAACCTAGAGGTAGATACAGAAAATTCAGAAAGAGGGAGCAAAATTTTTTTTTTTAGCAAGAACACAACTTCTCCCACTTCATATGGATATACTAAATATAGTGGGTGACGCCTTAGAATGTCTGAAAAATTAACTACCCTGAAAATTGAAGACCAAACAGATTTAAGTAAATGGTGTTGCTTGAAGTACAAACAGCCCTATGCATTTTAAGCTTGCTTTGCAAGAGGAGAGGAGTGATGTGAGTAAACAAAATCTTTTATGTTCCACTTTCTGGTTGTGACTCCTGCAAGTCAAAACTACATAACACAGAAATACCACAAACAGCTTACCTGTTAGGGGTTCAAGCAAAGTTTCCCAATTATGTATTTGTAAAACACAGGAAACGCTATTTTACAAAGAAATACTTATTACAGTCAAACTCACAAAACCGTGAAAGCCTAAAATATGTCTGGAATGTTTATTGTGTAATAACCATTCACGAGTGAGATCTTCAACCACAGAAACCACAGAGCATGGATGTATTGCATTGGTCACGGAACATTAAATACTGCATAGTTTTGGTTTTTGCTTCGTCCTAAGATACACCTTCTGTCTTTATATATTAATGAAAGTCTAAATTTTGTATCAAGGACCATATCCAGTATTAAGTTTGTGGGATTATCATTTTGGAAAACAAGAATTCTGCTGAAGCATACAGTTACTCAAGCAAAGCAATGGTTAATTTGACACAGCTATAAATAGGGATGAATAAAAATTTAAAATTCTGGTGGTTTCACTAACCTTGGTATCATCTTTGGTTAAACTAGCGACTCAAATTATTTTAGCAAATAATTACAATCCCTTGGGCTGGGTGGTTCGGTGATCTAAACACCCTGAAAAGATTGACCATGATAAATGGAAATGTTTGCTAATTTTGATATTAGTTGTGGCAAACAGTAAACACCTCAATTTTCCACTGGTCCTTTCCAAATAAATTTGCACTTGATTCACATATTTACAAAATATAATGGAAGACTTCCATTTTCATCAATGCCACTCGTCGCTTTTCGTCGTTATCAAAATTATCATACCTGTAATGAAACGAAGTAATGAAAGTTATTTGGATTGTTTGCACTTGAGTGTTTCAACGGCCGCCAGTCGTGTCAGCCCAGCACATTGGTTTGTGAAAACAGTTTTCTCTCGTTAAAAATATCCCAAACCCTCTTTGCTAGTGTTTAAATGGCCTGTAACAGCAATTATCTCATTTCTTGTATAACTGAAATAGAGGATTTATTTTGAGACCAGTCACCAAACAAATTTGTTCCAACATTTAAGTACATTGCATATGGGAGTAGACTCTTTTTTCCTTTATGTTCTAAAGATACTAATTTATGCAATGCATCATTTACTCTGTACTGATGGCACTAGGGGTGACGAATGGTCCTTCAAAAACCATTAGTCTCGCAACATTTTTGCCAAATTTCACAGGTCTCGCAGTCTTGTTTTTTAGCTGTTATGTGTGTCTCGCAGTCTTGATTTTTCTCACAAAGCTGTCTTGCAGTCTCGATTTTTGTTCAAGGCTAAGAAAGTCGCGAAGTACTGATTTGTTTATTTTCTTTTTTAGTAAAGTTAAATGACATCACATCTTAGAACCTGAACGTCTTGAGTTCGCATTTCAAACACTTTAAAGTCGCAGTCTCGCAATTGAAGAAATTGAAATGTTTCGGGCGCGCAAAGAAAAACGTTAATCTCGTCGTCTCACAAAGTCTCGCATTTACCATTCGCCACCCCTGGCACTGCTTACAAGATTCCAACAGTTTAGGTGTTCTATATATTTTAATGATTCTGTGGTTATTTTATGAAAGGGCTATGGGAATGACTGTACAATCGAATATTCTTTGATGGGCTATGTAATTTAGTAATGTACAAAGATATGTTCAGGTTTCACTTCCACTATGCTGGCAATCAAATTGAAAATCATCAGTGTAAAACGCATACTGTGA